TGACACAATGCAACTACAGTACTGGATGTTGTGTTTTAGTGGTGCCAGTGACCAAGCAAAAAACTTAATAAGCAAATTTAAAGACCGTTAGATTAAATTTTGTATTTGGATAAACACTCAAATTTATCCCAGTTTGACTCTTCAAGATTCAAGATTCAAAAGCTTTATTGTCAATACAGCAGTATACACAGTATACAGAAATTCTGTTTCATCCCAAGCCACCCATGGTGCATAAAAGATATAACTCCAAGAGATATAAAACTAGAAATTGCAAAGTGCTGAGTTAATGTATTTGCATAGTCCTTAAATTGCTCTGCTGTAAAGGATGGGAACGGTTAATTAAATACCCACAAATTAATTAAAACTTGGTGGACCTACGGCTTTTACAGTCCCTAAGGCCCTAAGTGGAGTCCAGTAATCCAGCCCTGAATAAGAGACTGTCCATCGTAGAGCTCCTGAATACCTGCCAGTACTTTTGCCTTTAAAGAACCGATCTGCCCATGAAGCTGCTGTCAGTCAGAGCTTCTCCCTGCTGCTTGGTGACAGTGACGGTGAATTCCTCAGCCTGCCTCTGAAGTCCAGCTGGCCGCCGTCGCTGTATGTCAGTCAGATTTGAATGAAAGAAATCATCTGACAGCCCGGCCTGATACCACAGATGGTGATCTTTGGCCTCAGTTATTAGAGAGCAACTGGGCCTTCTCATCTTTGATTGCATAAGACATGCTTCAAAGTTCCAGTTAGTGAGAAATAAAACTTATGTGTAAGTTAGAAACTGAGGTTTAAGATAATTTGTCTGGGTCTTAAATATGATGGGTTTGTTCTGATTATTATAGAATTGCGATCATAAAGATCGAGTAAACGGTGGATGAAGAGCATGAGGACAACTTTAAAAATTAAGATATTTTCACATTGGTTTGTAAAACCTTTGAGATTTTCTGTAATTTCTGTATAAATAAAAACTAAAATGCCATGTGATCCTTTTTTTTTTTTTTTAAATGAACATCCTTTTGAAGTAGATGAAGAGAACCTTTGGACTTAGTCAAGGATTACCTTTTAATCTTGGGAATGCCAACCGAACAGTGACAAACTCTATTGATTTGGTGGTTTGTTGGTAGATAATTCATTCTGTTAAGTAAGTAATTCAATCTGTGACTTGTTGATTATGTCGCACTTCTTCTAATATGATCACAGATTAAGCATTATTAGAGATTTTACGATATGTACGCTGTGTTCACTGCATCATTCCATGTTTGGTGACTGATCACCACCTGCACTCATGTATATCATGTATATATCTATCTACTTAGCACTTTTTCTTATTCTTATTTTTATTTTCATGTCTATTTAAGCGTAATTTATGACAGTATGTTTGCACTGAAGCACCGCAGCAATTTCCTAATGTTGTAAACCTGCTCAACATTTGGCAATAAAACCCTTTCTGATTCTGATTCTGATATAGTATTCCATAGAAATCTAGGCAATAACTGTTGAGATGTTCACTCAAAGCTCCAAACATCAGCCCCATGCAGTCCCTCTCCACCTACGTGGGCCCGTGGCCCAAACGAGAATGGATTCCACCAAAAAAACAATTGGTGCCAGCAAAGTTGGAATGATGTTGAAGTGGCTATTGGACCCCTACAAAGCTTTTGGCAGATGCAGATCAGAATATTCCCCATGAAGTTACCCCAACTTCTGTAAAAATGCTATGTGATGATCAACTCTCAAAACTGTCAAAATATCAGCTGGTTTTCATAATCCAAACCGGCACTAGAACTGTGTGGTGATGGGCAGTGGATGACCTGGTTTAGATTCATACAGTCGTTGTTCTTCTAGAGCTTGTTTGCCTGTTATCAGTGTCATCTACCTGTGGCTTTTCACTCTTAGTTCACAGAAGAGAAGCTTGGCCAGGCTGAGAAGACTGAGTTGGATCCACACTTGGAGAACCTGATCACTCGTGCCGACTCCACCAAGAATTGGACTGAAAAGATCTTAAAACAAACAGAGGTGCTACTGCAGCCCAATCCAAGTAAGTTCTATACATCGCGGAAGTTCCCCTACATATACAGGGAGTGCAGAATTATTAGGCAAAAGAGTATTTTGTCCACATCATCCTCTTCATGCATGTTGTCTTACTCCAAGCTGTATAGGATCGAAAGCCTACTACCAATTAAGCATATTAGGTGATGTGCATCTCTGTAATGAGAAGGGGTGTGGTCTAATGACATCAACACCCTATATCAGGTGTGCATAATTATTAGGCAACGTCCTTTCCTTTGGCAAAATGGGTCAAAAGAAGGACTTGACAGGCTCAGAAATAGTGAGATATCTTGCAGAGGGATGCAGCAGTCTCAAAATTGCAAAGCTTCTGAAGCGTGATCATCGAACAATCAAGCGTTTCATTCAAAATAGTCAACAGGGTCGCAAGAAGCGTGTGGAAAAACCAAGGCGCCAAATAACTGCCCATGAACTGAGAAAAGTCAAGCGTGCAGCTGCCAAGATGCCACTTGCCACCAGTTTGGCCATATTTCAGAGCTGCAACATCACTGGAGTGCCCAAAAGCACAAGGTGTGCAATACTCATACTGGCCAAGGTAAGAAAGGCTGAAAGACGACCACCACTGAACAAGACACACAAGATGAAACGTCAAGACTGGGCCAAGAAATATCTCAAGACTGGTTTTTCTAAGGTTTTATGGACTGATGAAATGAGAGTGAGTCTTGATGGGCCAGATGGATGGGCCCGTGGCTGGATTGGTAAAGGGCAGAGAGCTCCAGTCCGACTCAGACGCCAGCAAGGTGGAGGTGGAGTACTGGTTTGGGCTGGTATCATCAAAGATGAGCTTGTGGGGCCTTTTCGGGTTGAGGATGGAGTCAAGCTCAACTCCCAGTCCTACTGCCAGTTTCTGGAAGACACCTTCTTCAAGCAGTGGTACAGGAAAAAGTCTGCATCCTTCAAGAAAAACATGATTTTCATGCAGGACAATGCTCCATCACATGCGTCCAAGTACTCCACAGCGTGGCTGGCAAGAAAGGGTATAAAAGAAGAAAAACTAATGACATGGCCACCTTGTTCACCTGATCTGAACCCCATTGAGAACCTGTGGTCCATCATCAAATGTGAGATTTACAAGGAGGGAAAACAGTACACCTCTCTGAACAGTGTCTGGGAGGCTGTGGTTGCTGCTGCACGCAATGTTGATGGTGAACAGATGAAAACACTGACAGAATCCATGGATGGCAGGCTTTTGAGTGTCCTTGCAAAGAAAGGTGGCTATATTGGTCGCTGATTTGTTTTTGAATGTCAGAAATGTATATTTGTGAATGTGGAGATGTTATATTGGTTTCACTGGTAAAAATAAATAATTCAAATGGGTATATATTTGTTTTTTGTTAAGTTGCCTAATAATTATGCACAGTAATAGTCACCTGCACACACAGATATCCCCCTAAAATAGCTAAAACTAAAATCAAACTAAAAACTACTTCCAAAAACATTCAGCTTTGATATTAATGAGTTTTTTGGGTTCATTGAGAACATGGTTGTTGTTCAATAATAAAATGATTCCTCAAAAATACAACTTGCCTAATAATTCTGCACTCCCTGTATAAAGTCGCATCTTCAACTCTGCGCACGGGGTTTAAAGAAGATGTAGTTCTTAAACTTGTTGACAAAAGATCTGTTCATACGTGTTTTGCTAATTGTTGCTCAGTAACATTAAGCTTTGAAACTAAAAGTTAAGGTTTCTACTAAAGAAATTTCCCTGGGAAGCAGAAACCGGTTGAGCTCTATCATTTCCACCAGAAGTTCCCGAATTCCAGCGATAGATTATTTCCCCCTTTCCCCTTTTGTTGAACTGTATATGTAATAAGTCTTTGCTCAGGAGCTAGTATTTTCTGAAGATTGACAACCTTCCCGTGTTAACAACTAATGCTAAGTGGTCATGTATAAAAGCTTTTTAATCTTGCAATTTTTTAATGCTCTACATTTCTGAGAAACCACTACTAAAAGCAGGATTTGTTTTTAGTGTCTGACAGTAATTGAAAATAATTAGCCAGGGGGATTTTGTGTTTGGACTAACAAGAAAGTCGAAGCTTCTGAGGTTGTTAGGTCAGAATTTGAGACAATTTCCCAAATTAATTTTAGTTTAATCAGTTTAACTTGCTGGAGGAACCTTCACCCTGGGGAAGGTTCCTGGACGTTAGTTCCTGGGTGTTTTGGGAACTTTCTCTGGAAATGTGCCTTTTAGAAGCTTCTATAGTTAAACGTGAACATGATTGGGTTTTTGGGAGTAATGCCTAACCTTTGACCTGTGTATTTTGTACCCTCCATGCTTCAGTTGACCACACTGGTAAGTCTTGGCCTTGTTTCCCAGAGTGCTTTGTGTAAAAAGCCTCCTCAGCATTGTGATGTGACTACAGATTATACATACATAGCTGTGGTCAAAAGTTTCCATAAACTCATCATGGGCAGGAATGTCAAAGTAATCTTGGGCTTGAGAGGTGGTGTAGTGGCATAAGGTTGGAAAGCCTCACATTTACTCCTCCAAACACACATATTGTCATTGTGGCCAAATAGCGGTGTTCATTTTAGAGCAGGGGCTTCGTTGTGGGTTGGTACCCTCTCAATCCAAGGTGGTGTAAAGCTCTAGATAGTTTATTAAAAGCCCAAAATTACTCTGGTTTTTCATGCACATAAACTTCTGACGACATCTGTAGTCTAGCACATACCACAGACCTACAGTACGGCCCCACATTTTAAGCTTCAGGCACCGTCTGCTGTGCTGTTTAAGGTCTGAACTGGAGCTTGTAGATACAAACAGGTGTTGAATTACTAATGACCTTCTATTCAGGAAGACAGCTGCCAACTTTTGATGGGATACAGCCATTGATACCTTCGTGAGGCCTGGTTGATTCAAATACCATACTCGGGTACAATTGTATGTACTTGTATTTTTATTTCCCATCACACATTATACCAATCAGACCCATCAGATGGTTTGAAGTCATCCTGGAAACTATTTGGAGAAGGGCTGGTTCTTTGATATAATGATTAGCAGGCGATTGAACCATCTGTCTGTCACTGCTTTTCATGGGCCACTTCAACCAATCATGTCACGACAGATATGATGCCACCCACAACATTTATCTGCTGTTATATGCTGTCGTTAAAAACAGGTTGAAGTCTAGATTACAGATCCATTTGTGATCCAGCTGCCATGGAAAGCAAAGGCTATACTTTCATTAGCTGAACGGAACATTGGGCTGCAGCTTTGATCTTGCTGCCAATATTTAATGATCAAAGACGCCGATCCACTCCTACCCCTGGATAGCCCTGTTGGTGGGATTGGTCAGTTGCAATTCTGGTCCCAGAGAAACATAAATGTGATACCATAGGAAGACCACTTATGTGGCAATGTCAGATAAAATATCAGATAGAAGATTATGACACTAGTGGGTTCCCACTAAAAAACGCTTCAAGAGCTGTACACGCCCACCACCGACCCCAACCACCTCCTGCCAGCTCTGATGCAGCTTGAATTATTAATAACCAAGGTTACATCTGTGCATAAGTGAATGTTTTTCAGAACCGCCAACATGTCTGCACTTACTGAAGATTAACTGAAGATTAAGCATCTGCAGTGAACTGGTGTTTACACATAGCGTATCAGAGGAATTTGGAGGAATGTTTCCCCATTTAAAAAAAACTTATTTTAGAAGCAAAGATAACCTTTGGTATTAAGAGTAAACTATGGATAAATTCAAGACAAAAATGACAGCAAATTACCTTTTGTTAAACTCTCTTTGTTCAGAGAGATTAATAACACCTTTCGTACAATTGGACTCTTAAATGTAGGATAATAAACAGTGTGGGATATTCCTTTTAATGTGTTGGTCACAGTTGTCTTTTTATCACCTTGTATCCAGGTGCTCGGATCGAGGAGTTCATCTATGACAAGCTGGACAAGAAGCTTCCCTCCAGGACGACCAACGCGGAGCTGCTGGGTCAGTACATGCTGGACGCCGCCATCGAATTCGGTTCAGACACGCCATACGGTGAGTGGACCTGCAGCTGAAACTGACACTGCTGCAGCTAATGACTCATGAAGCTCTAAATGCTCCTCTGAAGCAGCTCTCTTTCTGTTAGCAGTTAAAGAGCACACCATTTTACAACATTTTCGAGAAAACAAAAAAAAAGTGGATGTGGATGCTGCTTAAACAGCTAAAACACTTTAGTCCAAATTGTATTTAAAAACCGATTTGATTGTTTTGTCTCCATCAAACCTGTGGTTTGAACCTGAGTGTGCTGCTGTGCTGTTGTAACTGTAGGCAAGACCCTGATCACAGTAGCGGAATACCAGAAGAGGCTCGGAGGAGCCGAGCGCGAGTTCCTCCACACTTCAGCCGTCACTTTCCTCTCACCTCTGCGCAACTTCCTGGAGGGAGACTGGAGGACCATATCAGTGAGTGTGTAGTATGAAAATATGGTAGTATATGTAAATACGGACGTGCTGATACAAAATAGGAATGAAGTCTTTGCAGCTGTAAGCATCCTTATTACATCCTTTAGGAAAGCAAAAGAGAAAGTGCCGTCCCAGAATTCACAGCATCATTAAAAACAACAGTGATGTGTCGGTCGCGAATGAAACTGCTCTTAGAGCCGGCTCTTTGAAGTGAATGACGCGAGCCGTGGGTTGTTTTTTTTTTTTTTTCTTTCTCTCACCCTCTCTCTCGCACTTTTTTCCGCTTCACTCTGCACGCGAGCCTTGTGCTTGCTGGGCAGAGGGGGAGGGGCAGTAATTACACTCACAGTAGCACAGGAACAGAGCGGGAGGGAGAGAGAGAGAGAGAAAGAGAGCCAGGGACAACAACGTCACATTAGAAAGGTATAGTAATCATCCACAACTATTTCAGTTGCAGATGATAAAGGATTCAGAAAGTTTATTCATGCAGGCCCATATGAGAGAATATGCATCTTCTTTTTATTTTCATATTTTAATTTATATTTAATTGTGTTGTGGTTTGCAGTGTTTTGTGTTGTTTCAGTTTAAATTTGTAAAAGGAAAAAGCTGAAAATTTAAATAGTTAAAAGTTGAAATGTGAATAGTTGGTTTTTGTATTATATGATTTATTTATTACATTTTATGTGGAGTGAATAAAATAAAGTATATTTACGGTGGCCCGTACAGACAAAACACGTACAAAACACAACAGAAGTGCTCCAGGATGCTGGGCGCAGTGTTGAGCTTTTGTTACCTGGTGGCTACACAAGCCAGGAAGTACCAACGACCGGATTTGGTGTGTGGTAGTAACAGGTAAATGAACATTTTTTATTCTATTTTTTGTATATATATGAGTGCTTGTGTATAAATACACAAACCATACACATATGCTTTCAATTGTGTTATTTAAGTGATCTAGGTAGCTCTGTTTAGGAAGTTCAGTTAACTCTAGGAATGTGTTTTGGAGTTTGCGTGTGCCTTGTCTCTAGGGGCCACCGTATATATTTATATATAAATAAACCACGTTTTTTAGATTAGTAATTCCTTTTGTGCATAATTTCATATTGTTGTTAATAATAAATTAATGAACGCAACAAAACAACCTGAAGAGCCGGTTGGGAGTCGAAAGAGCCGGCTCTCTAAAAAGAGCCGGAAATCCCATCACTAAAAAACAAACAGTCAACATGGCTGTGTGGTGAATATCATGAAAATGTTCATTAATAGTGTGTTTTTCATTTAATGCCATAACCTGCTGATATGTTTGAACCTTTAAAACCGCAGCTGAACTCTGACCTTTACACAGCTGCAATAACAGATGAGTAGGTTTCAGTGACAGCGTTGGCATGCATGATGATCTCAAGCATACCTGAAGTGAGAATTTGGACAAAGTTAAACTACTGACAAAGTTTAACTTGTAATTTGCACTTATTGGAAATCTCAGCAAGTCTCAAAATGTTAAAAATCGCAGTAATATCATATTGTGATTTGTGATAATATCGTATCGTATTGAGAGCAGTCAGGCTCTCTGAGCAGCAAACCTCTCCTTTCTCTGTCCTGACCAGTTCTTCTTCACATTTTTCCCTAACCTCATGACTTTTTCCACAAAAAAAGAGTGACTGGGAAAGGGAAAGTGGGAAAGGAAAGCAATACATAGGAAAAAGTGCTTACCAAAATAAAGCGGGAAGCTGAAAGAAAGAAGAAAATGTTCCTAACGCAAAGATAAAGAAGGGAAAGAATATCAGTAAAAATAAAATGGTGATCAAAACACAAATCCTGAACTCAGAGTCAGAGTGATGTACTCGCTGCTGGAGGTCTTCAGGGTGATGATGTGTTGCACAGGTTTGCTGCAGGTTTGATCCTCGCGGTTGTTCCTGAATGAATCATTTTTCTTCCTCGTGCAGAAAGAGAGCGGCTGCTGGAGAATCGCCGCTGGATCTGGACATCTGTAAGGCACGCCTGAAAAAAGCAAGCTGGCAGAAGCCAAAGCGGCGGGTGAGATCAAATTCAACAGTTCTTCTTCTACCCTAAGATCAGAAACCATCAGAGCACAGCCAGACTCAGACAGCTTTAAGTGAAGTCAGTCAGGTGCTCATTTTGTTTTGTTTTGGTCACATGTTCAGAGTGCATGTGTGCAGATCACCTCTGACATGTTGGAGAGCTTTACTGGCTGGCTGCGCTGCTTGTCGCATGTTTGTCAGATTCATGAAGGAAAGTTCCTAACGCTCTTTATGCACCAACTCTGCATGGAAATATTACAAACAGTCTTTTGGTTAGTCTTTAAAAACTCCAACAGATGCAGTGGACGCCTCGTTAGCAGACGGGTTGATGGCTGCTCTGTTAACACTCGTAGAGCAGCAGATTCTCAGCCATGACCGGATTATCAGAACTAAAGTCCAGTTCAGTGATCACTGGGAGCCTTCAGAGTTCATCTGTTCACCATCGCATTGATTTTAAGTGATTTAATCTAACACAGCTACCTCAGATTATCCTATGCATGCAGGAATGTAAGAAAACAAACACGGTAAACCTGATATTAGTTGATGCTGGTGAGCTATCTCAGACGCCTGTGGTACCAACAACTCTGAATCAGGAACAGCAGGGGGCGCCCGTGTCACAAAACAAAACATCAGTACCGGTTTACTCCGATCAAATGAGCCCTTCAGTAGTAGATTTATGACAGGGATTAATAATCTTTTACATCACAAGAGACATTTTATGGGGATTTTTGATCCTCAAAAATCTTAATGGGGCCACAAAACATATTTAAGCTTAAAAATGGAAGGTCCAATCAATCCAATCAATGTCATTGATGTTAGTAATTCAGATATTTTAACACAAGATACTTTAAGTTCAATTTTATTTCTACAGCATATTTAAAAGCAACAAAGTTGATGGAAGTTCTTTACAAGTTAGTTTAAAACAAACAAGAAAAGACCATAGACCAATAAATAAATATTATAAAGTAAGTCGTGAAAACAAACAATAAATTTAACTTACAACAAGCTAAAAAAAGACACTACAAGATAAAAAAGAAAAAGCCAGATGGGACTCAACGTGAAACTTAATTTAAAGCAAAGGTAAACGAAGTGAGTTTGAAGACAGGATTTAAAAGAATCTCCAGCACAAATATGGAGTTTCAGGTTATTCCAGAGTCTCAGGGCTTCAACCGAGGCCTCAGCAGTCAGAGGAACTTAGCTGCTTTAAATCTAGAAACCTGAACAGAGGTAGAGTCGGTGTAAACCTGCTAAAACCGCAGTGATGTGATCATGTTCTAACACCTGTTAAAAGATGAGCAGCAGTATTTTGGACAAACTACAGATGAGTTTTCAAGACACACCTGTAGAGAATACAGGCATGAATGAGGTTTTCATGGAGGACGATAGGATTTCTAAAATTATAGAAGCTGAAAAACTTCTATTTCCAATAAAACACAAAATTTTTAAAGTGGAAGAAAAATCTACCAGCATGATCAGACCTTCCTCTGTTTGTGAAAAAAAAATCAAATCAAAAGTGTCCTTTTAGTAAACTTTAAAAAATAAAACCACACAGCAGCTTTAAAAGGAGATAATTATTCACTGTGACGTCTCTTGGGGTCAGCAGGAGTCACAGGTTAAATGCTGTGGATGCTTCCAGCTTCAGCTCAATGATCCGCTCTCGTTGTGGTGCTTTGTGCTTCCTGCTAACATGTTTTTCTTTGTCTGCTCACGGTTTGTAACTGCATGACAACCTGTGTTTGTTTCCTCCTCCTTGCTCTCCTTTGCTGTAGGCTACACCTGATTTTCAGGAGACTCGGCCTCGAAATTATGTTCTTTCTGCCAGTGCATCAGCGGTAAGAGAAACGAGCAGCACCGCAGAGCTCATGGCTCACATGACAATCAAGAAACTGCATTTTTAACATGTCATATGCAAACAACTCCATAAGAAGCTAACAGCAGCATCTTTAAGTCTGACTGGCAGCTGAAGCTGTTAACACAGGCTTGTTTAACAACCGGGTTTCCATTTACCATCAACCTGTTTATGTATTTTCTTTGGTTTTACTTATTATCAAAAATTTAGTTTTTCTTTCTTTTTATATTAAAATATACTAATTTCATGGCAATCACAAATGAACAAAGTGAACCGGAAGTGAGGACAGTGGGGGAAAAACAGCCGTATGATTTTTCTAAAAAAAAACCCCCAAAATGCAACAATTTCTGCATATGTTGGAAATATATGAAAATGGATTTTTAATTGTATTTTTATTTATTTTCTTTTTGAGAAAGCAACCTCACTAGTCAAATAAACAAAAATAACCTGAGGTGAGGAAAGTGAGCCGTCATTAAAAAAACAGCCATTCTGTCACATTAAATATGAATTTATAATTAATGACTCATCAGGTTACACAAAGGTTACATTGACAAACAGAAAAAAGCCAAATGAAATCAATTGTATCCATAATGTAGGTGCAGAAACGTAAAAGTCTGATTTATTCTCTTAGTTTTAAATTATTATTATTATTATCATTATTGTTATTAATGATAATGATAATAACAACAATGAAACAAGCCTTGTTCTGATGGAGGTTTCTTCCTATTAAAAGGGAGTTTTTCCTTCCCACTCTCGCCAAAGTGTTGCTCATGGTGGGTGATCTGATTGTTGGGGTTTCTCCGTATTAATGTGTCTTTAATTTACAGTGTAAAGAACGTCAAGGCCGCTGTTATTGTGGTGAAATAAAACGGAAATGAACTATCACTCCCCTGATACTAGTACTGCTACTGTTATTAGTGCTGCTACTGCTTCTGCTACCAGTCTTGCTATCAATATGATTTCAGCTACTGTAAAATAGAATTTCCCAATAATGGCAGAAATACTATTTATTATTCTTTTTTATTATATTATTTATGTATTCTTTTTTTTTTTTGCTTGCTTGAGAAAAGGAAACCCAATAAGCTAAAGGTTTTGTGTTTCACTGCTTCAGTTTTTTTAATGGTTCTCAGATGTATTAAAAAACTGTTCAAATCAAAATGTAGTTTTGCCACAGCTGTATTAGCGAACACTGCAGGCTGCTGCTGTCACTAACAATTTGCTGCTTAAATGAAAGTTAAATAAACAGAAAAGGGGAAAAAAATCTAATTTCATTACCAGGATCTCAGATTTTTAATCTGAGCAGCATTTTTCTGCAAATCGCACTCAAAAAGTTTTTTTTTTTTTAGACTGAAACGCACACGTGACAGCTTTTTAACCCAGTGAGATCCTGACCTGTTGTTTTTAGAGGACAACACAAGAGTTTATTTCTTTACTTCTGCTGGAACGTTTATAATTTCAAAGAAAGCTCAGGGATGAACAATAGGAAGGTATAAAAATGAAAACACAACACAGCATGTAATCTAAACCTGGCCGTGTCTTCTCAGAAGAAAAGCTGTTTACAGAAGTATGTGAGCACAGATGAGGAACACAAAGATCTGAAAGTGAGATTTGTTTTATCTCAGCTGAACCCATCAGGGCTCTGGAGTTTACACTTCACTGGCTCCTTTATTTTGTGCTAACACCTAGAAAATAAAAAGTTGTCAGATTGCAGATTTCACAGCATGAGTGATCTTTCAGGGCTGTGTTTTGAATGTTTAGTCAAGCATGTCGTGTTAGCCATGAGATAACCGTGTTTGTGCATGACGTGTTACAGATGACACAAGCATGTTTGAGCATGGTTATTATTGTTTAGTTTTGGCTCTGATGCTTTTTAAATGAGGCCTTGTTGAAGTTTATTGTATGTCCATGTGAAATAAAACAAAAACGGCAGCTTCAGCTCAAACAGAAACACTGCTCAGCAGAACCTGGAAGAAGCATGGACTTTTATTTTGAAAAATCACTGTAATTCATTGGAGTCATAAGTTCTTAATTATTTTTATGATCAAATCACATTCCCTGATAAATACAGTCCCTGGGATCCTTGTCACTTTATATTCAACTATCTTGTATTTGTAACCTGCCTGATTTTTATGGCTTCACTTACGATCGTGGCTCAAGAGTTGGGAGTTCGCCTTGTAATCGCAAGGTTGCCGGTTCGAGCCCCGGCTTGGACAGTCTTGGTTGTTGTGTCCTTGGGCAAGACACTTCACCCGTTGCCTACTGGTGGTGGTCAGAGGGCCCGGTGGCGCCAGTGTCCGGCAGCCTCGCCTCTGTCAGTGCGCCCCAGGGTGGCTGTGGCTACAATGTAGCTTGCCATCACCACTGGGTGGATGACTGGATATGTAAAGTGCTTTGGGTCCTTAGGGACTAGTGAAGCGCTATACAAATACAGGCCATTTACCATTTATTTTACCATAAAATTAAAATATCCTTAAAGAGCCTCTGTGCAAAGCCTCAGTTCATGCTCAGTCTGAAACAAGCCTTTTTAGCTCCTCCCCCTTTCAGAGGGCTTTCTTCTGATTTAAGCAGAAGTGGTTGGAGCTTCAAATACCTGGTTTAGAGTCGACTGAAACCTGAGGTTATACCTTCATGTTGTTATTTATTGGCCGTGTTTAATATTAGTGCTGGAAATGTATGTGACAGGAAATAATCTGTTATGTTATTTCAGACAGTTACAGTGTTTATGCAGCGTATGATTTTTTATTTATTTTTGATTTTTTGACCCCCTCTGTGGTTTCATTAAACCAGCTGCAGAGCGGCTGGGAGAGCTGGGACGTGGAGCCCGACCCGGTCGTGTCAGAGCAGAGGAAGGTTGGACACGTGGAGAGACTAGAAGTCCCGTGTTTGTTTAGTAGTTTGGGTAGAAAAGACATGTTTTTTAGGGTGTTTCATGGTTATTTCCCCCCCTGTTTAGAATTCACAGTTGTTTTGTTCCCTCCCTTTGTTATTTTTAGAGCGCACAGAACACAGAGATAAACTAGGCATCGGTTAGGACACTCTCAGAAGATCAGATTTTAGGAAATTCACTGATTACTTTTGCAGATTGAATCAGCAAACTAGACCAAAGAGATGTCACACAGTTTCCACTGGAGACTTTTCTGGTAAATTTGGGAAATAAATTAACTTTATAAAAAGCTGTGAAGCTGGAGAAATGCAATAAATTGTATTCTTTGTGTGACACAAGATAGGAAGGACCGTACCTTTTATTCACAAAAAGAGCCTCAAGGTTACCGTTTCATTCATCCCAAATGGACAGGGGAATTTTTTATTTTAATGTTAATAACATTATAACAGACATGCAGTGTTTTAAAAAAAAAATATCATAGCCTCTTTAAATTTTTCACATTCAGACCAACACGTTGTTCAAAATGTTTTACAAATAAAAATCTGTGTGGCCTGCGTATGTATTCAGGCCCCTTTACTCTAACAGCCCTAAATAAAAGAGGTCGTCTAATAAATAAACAGAGTCCAGAGTATGTCCTTTAATCTCAGTCTAAATACAGAACACGGTTCTGTGACAGCCTCAGAGGAACATTAGAGAACAAACTGCATCGTGAAGACCAAAGAACTCACAATTTTTCACATAAACTAGTATAAACCTGCACACAGGGATACACATCTACATTTAGGATGGTTAAATGTGAGAGATACACATATCGACGGGGCCGGGTTATGTTAAAAAGTATAAATGGTTATACTTTGTTCATTGGTTCAAAGGTACCCCACACTTCTTTTTTGTTTGCTTGTTTGTTCTGGTACTCATATTTACAAGATGGCATTGAACGCCCCATTGGTGTGTTAGGAAAACTCTTTTATACATATGTTCCTTGAAGGGGTTTTGGAGTGGTTCTTTTTCCACCGCAGAAAAGGGCTAGGAGTCGGAGAGGAGCTGCTGTATGTTTTTGTGTTGATCGGATTGTGAAATAAAACATATACAGTGAGAAAGCAACTCGAGGAGTCATCCCTGCCTTAAAGCTGCAACATATCATGGCGAGCCAGCCAGGAGGAAGGTTTGAAGAACTTCCCGCACGAGAGTGAAGCAGAAGCCTGGTTAGCGCCATTAGCGGCTAACGTTAGCGCTACCGCACGGCTGAAGAAAAACCTTTCTCCAAGCACCGGACCTGAAATCTGACGGACTAAAGACAAGCTTGTGAGTACCCACAATGGAGATAGAAGCCCGACGAGATAAGATCACCGCCACACTCTGCCAGCTAAGTCGTGATCAGCTCATAGAAGTGGGTTATAAGGTGAAAGGCTTTGCTACACCGCTAAATGAGCCTACAAAAGACACTTCCAGACGCCAACTGATGAAAGTTATAGAACATAAACTGGACGAGGTGGAAAACAGTTATACACCAGACGACGCTGTACAGTTTGTGAAAGAACTTTTATCGTTTTTGGGCGAATATAAAGCTAAAGACAATACGGCCGAGAGTGATTCTTCCCGCCCTTCAGACGCAAGAGACAAGTATGACGAGCTGCAGGAAGAAATTAGAGCGATAGGGCAGAAACTCAAGATGGCGGACGCTGTCCCGAACCTGCTGTCTTCTAAAGTACCAGAGGTGACAATTCGCAGGGAGTTTCGCATCTGTGGCCAAATAGGTGAGGGAGGGCAGCGCGATCGGCTGTCCTATACCAACCTGCTGCATCAGATGGAAAATGGACTCCGCAAAGGCCACAGTGAGTCAGAAGTTATTGAAGCAGTGATAAGAGCCATCAATCCAGGTCTCAAACTGCGTGATATGCTTGAAATAAAGACTGATTTGACACTCACACAGTTAAAGACAATATTAAAAGGACATTACCGAGAAGATGACACATCTGATTTGTACCAAAAACTGATAAATATTTCCCAAGATCCAAAAGAGTCAGCTCAAGACTTTTTATTCAGAGCCATTGAGCTTAAAGATCGCCTCCTGTACGCATCCAAGGACAAAGAAGCAG